AAGGCGTCGACTGTCGTGTCGCGGGGGACGTGGCCGGGTGGAGGGGAGCGTTCGTGGGTAAGATCTGGAACGTGAGAGGGAACAAGAAGCTAACCCCTATTTCGTACCCACAGGTAAGATGAAGGTGGTGGGCGACATGGCAGGGAGTGTGTGCTCGAGTTTGTTGAGAGTTTTGCTCTTGCCTCATCGCAGAGTGAGTTAGTGGTGTTGGGGTTACTTGTAAGATGGTCGGGTGGTAGTGAATACTTGGAGGGGAGAAGTGGAGTTGGGTGTGGATGCTGGTTAATAAGCATTGCAATTTGTTACAAACTGTAGAATTAGACAGTAGGAGGCGTGAAATTAGGAGTTGTTATAAGGTAGAACGTGCATTCATCTACAATAATGTAGATAGATTGGGTAGTTTTCAATTTATTTCACAGAAAGTTAGTTATTTTTTCTATTAGGTAAACCCTACAAGATATAATCTGAATGTTGTGTGCCATGTATGTGGTAAAAAAATATTATATTATGATTGTACATAGAAATGACATCACATTGATTGCAGTAGTTGGATGTTTCATAGTACTGTGTGTCGCAATTGAATTGTGCCACAAATAGCTTGTATTTGCAAAAGTAACCATTTGCCACCATGTGGTCTTATATATCCCAGACTCTGAGTTTTAGCTGTACCTGAATATTCACTTAATATATGGGTGAATATGTATGGGTCATGGGAGTGCACCTGCTGTTGCATCTGTGAAAGTTCTCAGGCAAATCTAAGAATTGTCTGAGCAAATTCTCTCTCTCTCTCTTCAATCTCTCTCTCTCTCTCTCTCTCTCTCTCTCTCTCTCTCTCTCTCTCTCTCTCTCTCCCTCTCTCTCTCTCTCTCTCTCTCTCTCTCTCTCTCTCTCTCTCTCTCTCTCTCTCTCTCTCTCTCTCTCTCTCTTCCTCTCTCTCTGTCTCTCTCTCTCTCTCTCTCTCTCTCTCTCTCTCTCTCTCTCCTGTCTCTCTCTGCTCTCTCTCTCTCTCTCTCTCTCTCTCTCTCTCTCTCTCTCTTCTCTCTCTCGTCTCTCTCTCTCTCTCTCTCTCTCTCTCTCTCTCTCTCTGTCTCTCTCTTCTGTCTCTCTCTCTGTCTCTCTCTCTGTCTCTCTCTCTGTCTCTCTCTCTCTGTCTCTCTCTCTCTGTCTCTCTCTCTCTGTCTCTCTCTCTCTGTCTCTCTCTCTCTGTCTCTCTCCTCTCTGTCTCTCTCTGTCTCTCTCTCTCTGTCTCTCTCTCTCTGTCTCTCTCTCTCTGTCTCTCTCTCTCTGTCTCTCTCTCTCTGTCTCTCTCTCTCTCTCTCTTGTCTCTCTCTCTCTCTCTCTCTCTCTCTGTCTCTCTCTCTCTCTGTCTCTCTCTCTCTCTCTCTCTCTCTCTCTCTCTCTTCTCTCTCTCTCTCTCTCTCTCTCTCTCTCTCTCTCTCTCTCTCTCTTCTCTCTCTCTCTCTCTCTCCTCTCTCTCTCTCTCTCTCTCTCTCTCTCTCTCTCTCTCTCTCCTCTCTCTCTCTCTCTCTCTCTCTCTCTCTCTCTTCTCTCTCCTCTCTCTCTCTCTCTCTCTCTCTGCCTTTATTACCTTGCAAAAGGGGGGTTACCAGCTGCACTTCAGAATATTATGTGAATGCCATAGAATGTGTCAAGATTCACACACAGATCAGATTTCTAAAAGAAAAAAGAAAATGGAGGAAAAAGTATCCTCAACTTCAAAGCCAGATATCTCGAAAGTCCAGCTTTGTCAACATTCTTTTTTGTTTCTTCATAACTACTTGGGGGATTCTGATGGGGTTTGGATCATTTGAAAGCTGAATAAATTTGCGATTTTTCCAACGATGCTTATTTTCATTTCAGGTGATAAAAGTCCATATATCATATTTCATATTTTTAACACTGAATATTAAAAAAAAAATCCACTAAACTAAGAGGAAATTTCAATATCAATTTTAGGTATTGATATAGATTATATTTGGTAATTTTTCAGTCAATGGATAAGTGAGATACATAACTTTTTTTGATTGTTCAAAACTTTGTTTTTTTTAACAACTTCATTGTTTATTATCCAAATGATATGAAACTTGGTGATGGAAATTGTAGTATATGTATATATAACATATTAAAAATTGCGAAAATCCGATCATAATTAACAAACTTTGTTCTAGAGTGCGACAGCCCCGTTAAAAACAGATGGAGAGGGAATAGTATGGAGGAAAAGAAAGGAAAAAAGAATAGAATGAAAGAAAAAATAATGAGAGGAAATTTGAGTTTAAAGGATTAAAGGAGTGTGATAGAGAAGAAAGAGTGAAATAAAGGAGAAAAAGAGAGAGGGAGTAATGAGTGAGAATGTGACACACAAGGAGAAAGAATAAGCATAAGGGAAAGAGAGAGAGAGAGGGACCGAACACCAGTGTGGCCAGAACCTTGGAATTAAGGATTCAAAAATAATTTGCTGAATATTGATACTCCAGCAACCTAAAAGGAGTTGCTGTGGTTTTGCACAAGAGAAAAGCATATTTTCACATTCTTAGAGATTTGTGAAGCATTAACCCGTAGCTGACGGGTGGCACGTACGTACATACCATGGCTGTTGTGGACCGAAACACGGATGGCATCGTATCATGCCCATTCCCGCACCACTGGCATGTCGGCCGGAGTTTGTTTTTCTCCAATAGTAGTGGCTTCATTTATATGGTAAAGATTTTAGGCAGTGGCGCATATAATGAAGTTAAACCTATAAAATTTTGAAATTTTTATAAATTAAAGAAAAATATAAGCTTTTAGGTGCTAAATGTCGCTCGCAAACTACCAGTCGAGCCGGGCGCAAACAGGGGAAACTGCCAATACGCACCAACAATCCCGTTCTTTTGTCCACTTGCCAAAATTTTTACCCGTCGGCACTGAGTTAAGAGACACATATTTTGAGGAAAGTCAAGGCCACACCATTGATTGCATATATGGTTCAGTATGGAAGGAAAGACCGAGATAAATCTAATTAATTATAAACAGGAGTTTAAGATTCTGTGTATGATTTGCCCTGTTGAATTTTCAGAAAGTGAGGAGTATTGTTTTCCACAACAGGCTGATGATAATAGGAGTTTTCTTCTATTATCATCAGCCTGTTGTGGAAAACAATACATACTCCTCACTTTCTGAAAATTCAAATCAGTTCACTCAAAAGGCCTATGATGAGATTTTCACTTCTTTCACTGCATGTCACTGAGGGCATTTTATGTTTTCCTGACAAGATTTGGGAAAATGGTTCCTAAAATAGAGAAACCTTTGAACACAAGCACAAACACAATCACGTGAACACAAAAATGAAACTAGCCACAATGAGAATTGAGAATAAGCGTGACGTTTCAAACTCTTCTCAAGTTCCTCATCAGACAAAAAACCGAAATATTTTGTTTTTTTGTCTGATGAGGAACTCGAGAAGAGTTCGAAACGTCACGCTTATTCTCAATTCTCATTGTGGCTTGTTTCATTTTCAGAGAAACCTTTATTCTTAATTTGCTTTACAGCAACAAGAACAAAAAAACAGTATCTGGGGTCTTCATTTAGTGCAGCTTTTCTTAACCTTTTCTGGCCCTAGCACCTCAGTAGCCAGGTCTAGGTAGTCTAGCACCTCCTAATTCTGGTTAACATCTGATTACTAGAAAGATAAAGGAAAGTGGAATGAAGTGCTGAGTGATCAGTTATTTTGTTGATTCCTCAGAACTAAATCCAACTGCCATCATTGTTTATTAAAGAGAAAGAAAACCTGAGGAAATGAAAGAGCACAGACAAATTCAAATATACACAACTGAGTAATGAGTCATGCATACATCATTGTGGTTTTTGTTGTTGCTTATGTGTGACTAGTTTCCAGTAGAATTAAAGGTGTTCTAAGTAGGGAAAATTCTTGCCTAAAATCTCAAGGCTTTTTCTTGCTAACTCAAGAATTTGGCTTGCTTTCTCAAACGACCTCCATAGATGGCTAGCGGTGTACCATCACCATGGCAACAGCGTCGTTTGCATACTGTGCTGGTCACAATCCTTTGAATGCGGGCGTTGGCCAAGAACTCCGCTTAATATTTTATCAGAGAAATAATTTTTTCATGGTATCTGATTCTGTAATTTCCATAAAATTATATTTAAAGAAATTGAAATTAACTGAAAACGAAAAGAGATAATAGAGATTATGGGAGTTTTTTGCCTATAAATCCTAAATCATTATAAGACGAACAATTTATCTCACAAGAACTCCTCATCTCTCTATATCGAGAATTTATCTACTATTCTATGAAATAGAGAATATTTCAAGTGAAAAAAGTCTGAGAAATTTTTGCAACATTCTTCTGTTGATATTGTATTCGGTGACTGTTATATTAAATTTCATAAAATTGTATATATGGGACTAGGTAGACCAATATTTTAATTTAGTGATATTCATTTGTTTTTATGGCGCGCAGAGTGTAAGGGTTGCCCATCGAAGTGTGTGTGTCAGTGTTTTAGAGGCACTTTATATGAATATAGGAGAAAATATTGAACTTTGTTAAAATGTTAGGGTAGATTTATTTACTTCTCTGTCATCTTGATGCAGCGATAGCCTGTCAGCTTGAAATGCCCGCTCAAACTATTACCAACCAGCAATGAAATAAACTCCACCCTCACCTTATGCATAAGTTATCTCTCTGTGATTATTGGTGGGAATACTTGTCTGTTGCTTTTAAAACCCAAGTATGTATATGTTGTGTGTTATTTTGACATTTCTATGTTCTCCAAGGACTGTTATGATTTGTACTATATAAAAAGGCACTTGCACATGTCTGGCATCACTGAAGAAGGTTTGCCTGCATTAAAAAGTGTTTTAAGCAGGGAACGGTACAGTTCTTGGCCTATCGGCAAGAATTCTTGCCCAAGTGGTCCCTTGCTTAAAACACTTTAAGTATCACTGTACCGTTGAACTGCTACTGAATAATTGCTGCCTGTAATTGGGAGCAGCTGTGCATGGT